GAAGTACAACAGGAACACAAGTTTTCACTTGAATAACATGTCATTAATTAGGCATACCAAGACAAGTATATATACTTAATACAATTTCCATACAATGTTTTATTAATGTATTTTTCAATTACATATATTGTCCAATTAGGTCACGTGCTGCGCCACAGCTGATGCGTAGTTATTCCATTGACTGAATTAGCTGACTTCGTAAAGAATTACTTTCAATTGCGTTGTGTTCTTTGAAATCTAACTCTCAGATAATAATTTATTATTTTGCAACTTCAGAGATTTTGTCTTTAAATATTCCCTTGTAATCGGTAATTACGATAATTAATTTTGGTATCTTTTTAATACCTAAATAGCCAAACGAAACTGGTTCCCGTATGATGTCTCAGCTGGAAAACAGTATAATATATAACAAAACATGGCTTGGTTTATAAGCGTTAAACTTAAACAGGCGCAAGTAGTTATGAGATCATCTAACGGATGTTTATCCCCTCACGTCATATTCACTGCCCTTTCAGTTGTGGTGAGACCTGGGCAAACAGTTCGTTAGAATATATATAGAGTCACATTTACCATTTAATCTTCAAATAAATTATTGATTGAGCATGTATTTTGTCTCATCTGGATGATTGTAAAAATACACTCACCGCAATTAAGTTCATCTTCCCCGCTATCACAATCAACGTCACCATTGCAAACCATAAACACGCCAATACAAGTACCATCAGCACATCTATACATGAAATCTTCTGGACATCCTATTCCCGGCGCTGTGAAAATGGAAGTCACTCTCTGGTAACATAACGCATTGAAAATTCGAATGCCGATACCCATGTACTGTAAATTAATCAGCTCGACTACAAGAGGACCCTTTTCTCGAGCACCGAATGGCTTTGTTACACGTTTACATGTATATGAACAAACTACTTACCACATTCGTCTTCATCGGAGTTGTCGCCACAATCATTTTCACCATCGCAAATGTCTCTCGCTGGCAACAACACACCATTATTGCATTCAAATAATACTACAATAAATATTTGAATATTGGACACTGTATACAGACCATACTATTTATAAATCGTGAATTAACTGAATAATTATAAAATTAATATTTCACTGTAAATACATATGTACTGCACTAGCGAGGCACAAAAAGCAACATCACAATTGACGTTTCGTAGCTCGTGTATTTGAGCATTTTGATTGTATTTCAACATGTGCTTCAATAAAAAAATACGTTTCAAAAAGTATTGCAAATGTATTATGAAAGTTCATGTGAGATAGTGTCGTGCTAGTACACACATGATGTTTAGCTATATGTGTGAGAGGCACGGGTAGAAATAAAGCACTTCTGTGAAAATGAATGAATTAATTCCAATCAAATATGGATCTAATACGTGCAAAATAGTTTACGGGACTCACTAAAGGCCTTCAAAAGTATCAGAATTACCGGCCAGGGGCCTTGACATTTTATTGGATTTTATACCGCCAGAAAAGCCCCTGTAGTCGGGCTTCATCCTATACGTAATAAACTTTTATATGAGCAAAAATATCAAACATGAAAGTGGGCCATGATACACGCAGAACAAACGAGTCATGTATCATTTGAGAAAGAAAATAGAAAGATAAAGATAAAAATTATCCAAAAAATTAAAAACCGTCCCAAATAATGTCCATTTAAAATGATGCTGAAAATATCGTAAAGTTGACTGACATCAAGTCAAAAATAGCTCAACAATTAAATAACATCTATGTTTTCAGATATATAATCAAAAATAACACAATTGCGCTTCAGTGTATGGCTTACCACAGTTGTCTTCGTCACTCCAGTCGCCACAGCTGTTAGATCCATCACATCGATCCCACGTAGAATAACATTTTCCATTTGCACACTCGAATTCATCGTGGTTGCATCCAATTTTTGGTTCTAAACAATAATTATGTAGAGATAATATTGACAACAACTAGTTACGATTCTGGACTGGTTTAAATGTAGATCTATTAATTTGTTACTGGTTTAGCTAACACGTTATTAAATACATTCAGCAATGAAATATAGAATTAACCGTTATGTGCCCTTGCTTTCCAGAAACAAAATATTACATACCACATCCAACTTCATCGCTTCCATCTTCACAATTCTCATAACCATTGCACAATTCAGATTTGGGGAAAATCTTTCCGTCCGAGCAGGTGACTAATAGAGAAGTATATATATCAATTATACCCGTTTCCGGTTTCATATATTGAATCTACACGTGTTCGTAGTGAGATATTTCAACTATGGCACATATTCGAAATTATACAACCAAGTTAGTTCGGTTCACTCACCAATGAAGTCCTCACAGTCCTTCTCGTCTGATCCATCTACACAATCTTTATAAGCGTCGCACTGTTTTTCTTGTGGTATTTTATGCCCAAGTGGACAATCAAAACGCGGCCAATCTAAATGTGACAATTAAAGATATGTTAAGTTTCAAGTCAATTATTGCGCCAACAATATGGCTACGCGTGTCCCGGGGTCATATGCAAAGTAGCGTAGCCTCATTAGAGGATGACTAACGCATGTAGAATTATGTATTAATAGTGGAATCGCACGCTGGGAGGATGAACACTATTTGAGGAGCAAATAATTTAAAAAAAAATCGAACCGATAAATTCGAATACTAACGGCAATCTATTTCATCACTTCCATCAGGACAGTCCGAAAACCCGTTACACCTTTGGTCTTTTGGTATGCATGTTAGCTCATCCATACAGGCGAACTCGCTTTCAAAACAATCTGGAAGAAAATAAACCAAATATATTTACTAGTCAAATTCACTGTGGCGAAAAATGTGGACATAGTCCAATCGGTAAAATACAAAAGTACACCAATTATTATGTAATTAAAACACTGCTATCATTAAATAATTAAACTTCACAAATATTTTTTAAACGTTATCGGAAGTTATGAGGAAGTATTATTTAAAACGGAAATTGCGAAATTTCTATATGGTGACCGAGAATTGTCTGTCCGATATTTAGTTTAATTGAAAGCTATTATTTGTCAACGGAATCATAATTATTCAATTATTCTTTTTAGCTAGACATAACTAAATTCGTAATTATCTAATTCTAATTGGCATCGCCAAAATAATAACAGCTAAGTGGGGATTTAACAAAAATGACATAAACTAGATAGAATAATCTTTTTATTCTTTTTTTAAATATGTGCCTGTTTCTATTTTATTTCTCTTGATTTTTGTTATTGATTAAATTGATTAAATGTTTTTTTAAATATTTTTATATCATTTTTTCTGTCAAACGAGATGCTTTGAATTGGCCCATCCGGTGAACAGAAACACAAGTATTTGTTTTTACCCTAAACAATTGTACGAGATAACTACCAACTATAAGTAATCAGCTAAAAGTTTCACTTACCTTGCATCGGCTCAACGCACGTCATTCCACAATCGGTGTCACAACATTTAAAGTTAGTTGGACATTCTTCGTCATATTGACATTTCGATGTACACGATGTTGACAATTTGGTAAAGGGACATTGGCCTGGCTTTAAACCTTGTACAAATCAAATGTCATTCGAACCATAATAAGTAACGAAATATTTACACCACGTTACCAATATTTTATAATTTTACACAAGAACACATTTGCATGGAGATATTTTCCATAGAATATTCAATTACCCCCATTGTGGTATAAGACACTTATTGTGGTAGAATAATTCTATCTAAGACAGCAATTATTATTAATATTAGTAGTACAATGAATCAACTATAAATCTGGAAAAGGCACCTGAAATAAATACCAGACACATTGATTACCCGTAATGACATTCACATTGCAATTCGTCGTAATATGTACATACCTAAACACATTGGAGGAGGCTGATTTGACGCTGTCATTGTGCGAGCAATATAATTTCCGTATTTATTGACGCATGCACATTCTCCTCTCGCGAGACACTGGAGGGACGAAAAACTTCCATCTTGTTCACACCGCCACACGACTGGGATTCCGTACCCTGCTTGATTTTGGCTTGCAAGCATTGCTGTCTCATGGCAGTAATTATAAGGATGATCTGTAACCTTATCAATCAAATTATCTGTAATTTAAGCAGATTCCAGGTGTATTGTTGTATGCTGCTTAAACTATACAGTAGTAAAAGTCCTTCCTATCTTCTGTCAAGTATTGATAGATAATTACTGATGATTTTTGACGAATAAAAGCTATATTTACAGTGCGCGGGAAGTAAAGGCAATTTAAATAAGCACTTTAGCGCAACTGTATTAAGCAAGACAACGATGTCGAAGCGAGTATATGTTATCCAAGGTATCACGCAATATATCCGTGTAATATAATATCCCGAGTGAAAAATTATATTCACGCCTAGAGTTAGCATAGAATACACTTTTTTCTTGGCAATCAATTGTAACTTTACCATTTGGTTCGTGGTAGAATTTATGACATCCCTACACAATAGTAAAGGGATGGGTCATCGACTATCACACATATGTTGTAGATTATACATTCTGTTCATTTAGCGATACATTAATGCACTTATTTTATCTCCATAAATGTTTTTTTGTATATGTGGTTGTACTCGTTGTTGGTTTGTGTAGTGAAGTGTGAAAAACAATCATATAGCTTACCAATATCATTAGCGAAACTGTTGGCGAATATTGAAGAAATAACCATAAAAAGGTATAACGATTTCCACTCCATGTTGACTATATGAAGTATCCTACACCAATGAAATGTGTACTATTACTGGTGTTACTATCACTCTTATGACTGGCGAAAATTCAATGCGTAATGCTCCCTTGCTCTATTAACTGCATCTAACTAATTATTACCAATTAATATGCAATTAATATAATAATACAGAGGAAATGAAGTCTCGTTCAGAAGGTTATTATAATACAAAGGAAATGGGATCCCGTTTAGGAAGATATTTAATAACTTTTCCCTTTTTATTGGTGGACAGTTTGGGGCACATGCTGGCGGAAGCTATAACTGTAACTTTGATTGGTGGATGTTGTCACCTCCATATTATCGTTACCCCCTTTTTGTTCATCACAGTCAATATATGATGTGTCATTGACCAGTCATGTTATCGTAAAATATATAACCTAATCTTTAAAACGTGTTTTGTGATCCTTCTTATATAGAGATATATATCATTATTGTAATAGTAATTAAAAGTGTTATCCATAATTAATAACATTACATGGTTTATAATTCGACGTGCGGAAATCAGGTACATATATAAAATTCAATATATCAATATGTATCGCCAAAATAATACGGTTAACTGGTTATTAATTAATTAAGTATTCTATATAACCTAGTTGGATTATGCATGACGTTAGCCTAATTCTTAAAAAAGGTGATTTCTGATATGAACTCATGTGCCCTTGTATTAGCTAGTGATACTGGCTTATGTCATATGAAATAGAGCTAGATGTACAACTAAATGACCAACAATCAACCAACTAATTATAAATACAATACATATATGCTGTCAGACTGTAGATGAATATATAACTGTTTATACTTTTTTTTCAGTAGAGTAAAACTAACCTGTCTCGTGACGGTTTAAGCTCACATATATACACGTATGTGATTGATTTAACATGTCGAAAGTGTAATTGCAAACATAC